AATTACTTAATAGAAGAATGCATAGTTATTAGAAAAAAAATTAACATGCTTTCATTTTCTCGTGAACTTTCTTTTCTTTTTATCTTGTCCCCCTTTACCCTCGTTGGTCCGGCCCTCCGCGAAATGAAATCCTGCGTACGCCACTGGATGGAGGTACTTGCATGAGTATCCTACAGAATATGCCAGACGCAACAGTGAAAATTGCAAGTCTCAAGCAGCATTCTTTCTCATCCTTCTATTTCTAGCTATGCAATAGGCAACACTTGGAACTGCCAGAGTTTAGGCTTAATACAGGTGAAAATTTTGCGAATCATTCATTTTGGGTGGATTGCTGTCTTAGCCATTTTCACAGCCATTTGCACACATCCACAATATTTAAACAAAGCTTGAATAATGCTAATGGTCAGCGAACCTGTTAAATGAGTGTGCTCGAAAGTTCTGAGTTGATAAACCCAAACACCCAAGAAGGTATAAAATTTAAAAGGCTGTTAGCTTCTTATACAGTAAGCTTAAATGATCAAATTCCTGGTTTAAAAAAAAAAAAAGAAAAAAAGAAAGACTTGCATATTGTAAGCTATATCTTAGATTGCAACAATGCTTTCAGGTACATAGAGCTATAAAATCTCTTAAGATGAACCTAAGAACTTCCTTATAAGTAAATATGCCAGACTTTAGAACGTTTTCCCCTTCGCTACATTACCATGGCAAAGGCAGTGATAACCCAGAATGTACTGTGTGTTGCTTCAGGGCAATGTTTCACAATGACGTTTACGCCTCACGATGGCCTAAAAAAAAGCCCTGCTAAAGCTAGCACTCCAGTGGGAAAGGAACACGCATTTTGCGTCTCTGGCAGTGGCACACCCGAGTTTTGACCCAGCTATATTGCGACTCCCCATTACCTATGAAACATGTGTTTGCACTCTTCCCTCTCGCCTCCTCCACACACCTACCCCCCCCCCCCTTCCCCCACCCCCGTGCGCTCACCCAAAACCTTCTAGCTAAACGCCGATCAATACAGTACCGTCCGACTATGTTGTGAGGATTTCTGTTAACACCCATGAGTAACTGGGACATCTGTGCTTCGTACAAAACTTGGCTACCAATTAAAAAGAGTAGCTTCGCATAGAGCAGAGAAGCACGAAAGTGACTGTTACTCAAGCTTGTACACTGGGCACTATTCCAAAATTTACTCACTCTCACTTCAGAAAGTAAAAGCTCTGTACCCTGGCATTCGGAAACCAACTCACGTCCAGTGCCGCTCAATCTGCGTTATCGCATAATATAGCCCGTGGGAATATCTCGGATCTACTCAAGATATGAGTTACAGCATATGTGAAATAGTTTCTTTCAGAAAGTGATTCTGACTTTTAACTTGCCTTTTTTTTAACTTGACGTTGCATTTAATTAGCCTTAAAGGGCAACGTTTGTCAATATTTTCGAAGTTGGGATTTTGACTGTTTCCAGCTCAGTCAGTGCTCCTGAATTACAAGGTATATCTTTTTTTCCGTTTGTTTTCAATATTGTGTGTAGTTTAATGAATATTACGGCTCAAGGTTTGGTTTTGGGCATCCTCAGCAAAATTAAAACTATATGGTATAGAGGGATGGCAACACTGATCATCAGCTGTACGGCCGCGACGTGACATCACGAGGGTGCTGCGGTACGCGGTACAACTTGCGGAATCAACTGCAGCACCACCAAAACGTAATGTCATGGAGGTGCTGCGGTACGCATCACCCAGTGTTGCTAGACTAAAAGCCCTGCTTGCTACCTGCTAAAGAGCAGCTGGTCGCATTTTTAAAATTGGTTTTAGTGAAGCACGCAGCTTAGCTTAGACATATTTCAGCTATAACCATAGTTCAAACCAACTAAAGCGATAACAGTCATTTATTTTAGTTTTGTTTTCGACAGGAGTTGTGTTTTAACTGACTTGTTGCCTGTTCACGTTCCACAAACCAGTTTTTCTTTTTTGTTACTAACACCAGGCTGTACCCCCTGTAATGCTTCGGTGCTGCAGGTTGTTTTTGTGAAGAAATAATGCATAAATAAAATAACATGGCCCATGTAATGTAGTCAAACGTTGCCGTGTTAATGGTCCTTATCAAGATCGTAGTGCCCTTTAGGTGACGTACTGGACCAGTGTAGGGCACGGATTTGAAACCAATGTTGCGTCAGCATTTGGCACGGACTAGTGTCCAATCAGTGAGGACAAAAGTGCCAGCCGAGCACTGATGGAGTACTCGTGCGATGCTTTCACAATGGGAGAGTAAAACCTGAAGTTGCCAGGAGCCGGTTGTACATCCATTCTGTGTTAAAGAGCAGTGCGAGAAATGTAAATGTCACCTGTTATCTCCAACTCCGGCCAGTGGGACTTCTTGCCGGCTGCCAGATCCTCAGGACACATGATCGAGTGTGTCCTACGGGAGTTGTTGGACTCATACTTGTCCTTGTCCTTAAGGCCTGTCCTCGACATGAGTGGACCTGCATAGCCCCGCGCCAAGCGCCGATTCATCAGTTCACAGGTTATTTCTAGAGATCTCCCAAACTTCACAGAACACTGGAGAGCTCGTTTAAAGGCTCTGTGCAAGCAAACCTGAGTCACTGCCCACAAGTAAAGACCACCGAGCTTTGTCGTCTGTGCAGCTCTAAGCAAATCCTGGAAACCAAACGAACTGTAGGGTTTTCGTAATAGTTTACAAACTATGGATAAAGGCAATAGAAAAAAATATATGGGGTCAATGTCCCTTTCGTGAACGTTAGTGAGCATCAGCACATCTGAAGCAGCAACAGTAAGCTAGGACTGAACAGTAGCAGCAGACGTCAGAAGTCGTAGAGCTCAACACTTGTGGAGAAGCAACTTTTATTATTTTAATACAAAACAATTCCTTTCTTGTTCAAATGAAAAAGTAATTTTTCCTTCGAGAGGGGTAGACCCATATGTAAAGTTCAACGACCTAATTGGAAGGGGTGTTTCTTAGAATTCCTTCAATGCTTACTGAACTGCAGGGTTTATGACCCCTAAAACAAAGTTCACCAACACTGACAATGATATATCGTGGATGCTCCTGGAAACCAAGCAAACTGCAGGGTTTTTATAATATTTGTTCTCCACTTTCATTTGTTGTTTCTTGTAATAAAAACATTAGACAGCAACTGAATGCTATTAAAAAACGGAAGAGGCTGAACATCTAATTAGAAATACAACTTTTTCTAATTTTTAAACCGAAATCTAATCAGCACATACACAACAGTTCTAGATCTGCGTAAGGCCACACATCACTTGCAGGTTAAATCATAGGTATATGGTGGTGCTTATGTCTGCTTACAACTCGCTGAGGAATGCAAACCGAATGGTTGGATATTAGCATCACAGAAGGTAAAAGACCCATCAGCATACCAGACGAAGACGTGAGTGCAAGCTGTGTATACATTACGGCTCAGACGCCTCTGTTACCACAAAAGGGAGATGGAAAAACTCTACATCTTTTCGATCAAAATCTTTAGGCAAAGGTAAGACAACAGCTAACATGAACTGTCAACTAAAAGGGACTGGTCGGCACAATTGGCATATTTCATGGTGTCCCACAACAAAGCTGCTTGTCATAACTAAACAAGAAAATAAAACTTTTATAGAGTCTACAACCAAAGGGGTTACCCGTTTCTTGAATTTGCTGCAAGAACCCATGTCGATCAAACTTCAACAATACCAACATGGCCAAACGGTGCCACGCAAATACACGCTAGAGCTGGATTTTCTAGGCTAGCAAGAGCACTCTATTAAAAGTGCGGGCACAAAAAAAAAATATACGTGCACGCTCCCAACTTAATAAATGCGCAACGAAATGATACAAGCTAGCGCTGCAAAACAAGCCATGAGCTCTTCGCGGGGAACCGACAGCAAACAAAAACCGTTTCAATAACGACAAAAAGGGCATCCTTACTTGGTCAATTTCGGGTGACATATCATTATTTGCCGTGGCGAAATATGCTTATCTGCCGAGCAATTGCTCAAACGAACTGAAGTGCCACCGCCGGGCCGTCACACGTCTGCCAATCATGTCGTTGCACGGCTGCGTTCGTTCACAAAACACAACTCGCAACATCGCATTTGATGCTGGATAAAATTATTAGTCCGGCTAATTTAATTGTAAACAAAATGGGAATTTTAGCGATTACGAACGGCGGTGACGTGGGGGCGCACGACCCGACGCCACCGCATCCACACGTGAGCGCGGAACATCGGAGCGAAGCTCGAGTTGGAACTAGATAGCTAAACGCTGCGGAGGATTCTAGAAGACGAAGTCATATGCTGCGAGAACGAATGCGTGTGTACCGTAGTAGCATTCCATTGGGCAACGAGCTCGTTGAAGCCACACTTACGGGCGCAGTGCGGTCGCTTCGGCGTCGAGCGGCAACGCACTGACTGACAACCGCCTCCACGCATATCGGTCGCGTATCATTTATAGAGAGCGCCCCAAAACGCACGCTTCAGTTGGCCACATGCTTGGGGTGTCCGGAAGCAGGCAAGTGGAATTCCGCGGCCAAACATGCATATGATTCGAAAAAAGGCTAACTGACCGGTCACCACCACCGAAACCAAACCAAACCATCATTACCAACGGAGTGAAGTAAGTACCCACTCTTGTTTCGATCGCACTCGGGCATTCCGACCGCAACAGACCGGAATTTAAAAATGATACATCATGCACGTTGGTTTTTTTTACGCACCTTCATTTAATAACGAATAAACCGTATCCAAGCCGGACAGAAATCACTTTTCTTTTGCCACTTCAAAAACTTCCGGAGCACCTAGAAGACTCCCATGATGGAATCCAGAAAACAGCAATCCCGCCGCAACACTCCCTCGCGGCAACTCTTTGAATAAACTTGCCTTAAACTTAAAATAATATTACCAATTTAAATTATTGCTTAAACGTACAAACATATTTATTTATTACCGATATAAATACTCCAACAGCGATACAGACGACTGTCATTTTGCGCGTTCCTATCCATGCAACATGGCGACACTCATGGCGTTATCTCGCTCATGTGTTCGGCTTTGCAAACACGTTCGAAGTAAGAATTCTCTGCTCTTATCTCATTTAAACTTTGTTTGACCAAATATCCTTTTCAGGCGCGTGTTTGCAAAACGTGGTCCCTGCGCAAGCGGCCTGCGTGACGTCTCTTCAGAGGGAAATTGCCCAGGTAGTGCTGTGCGTTTTACATATCTTCAATTTAAAGAGATGAGTTTTTTTGTTGTTTTTCTCGGCATAATTTTTTATGTTTGTGATGTATCAGACACACGTTTATTCTGTCCTTCACGCGCTAACTCATAGAAAATACGGGACAGAATCGAACAGCGTAGCCTTCTGAACTCGTAGCTAGATCAAGCTGTTAAGTGTATCTTAGATACAATAGTAAGGGTGCAGGCGAGCTGGTGGATGTTAACCATGTTGAATATACCTGAGACTGGGGTAGAAAAAACATAAAAGTCGAAGAAACAGAACGGGACAGGACGACGTCTCAAACTCAGCTACCAGGTTTATTCAGTCCTCCTCCTTATATAGTCCACAAACAGTGTATCTTGCCGGCTCGTGTACTCAAGAACTCCATGGAGCGTATAATGCAACTAATAACTTCGCCCGACGGCACGCTCGTTTCGCGCTCTACTTAGCACCCACTGTGCTGGTGCCACGCGCAAAGCAAAAGCCGGCGGGGCAGAATTCGTCGATTTTTCGCAGCATATTCGCCCCATGGAGTGGAGTCTAGCCTTTAGTGCCCATCACAACCGCGCGCCTGGCTTGCCAATGCTTTTAGCGCGCACTGAGCTAAGCTTTCCGATGGAGAAAAGGAAACAAAAATAGTGATGTGTTATTTCCGAACGGAGTGCCTGGAGTTCCGTCCAGACGAAGCGATATCAGGTGCAGTATAGTTTCGTCCGGACGGAACGATGGCAGGCCCAGCAGAGTTCCGTCCAGATAGTAAAAGACAGCAGGTGCAGTAGGGTTCGGTCCAGACGAAACGATAGCAGACCCAGCAGAGTTTCATCCAGACAGAACGACAGCAAGCCCTGTAGAGTCCCGTTGGTTCCGTCCCGAAGGCCCACAGGAAACTATTGAAAAAGCAGTTAGGGCGCAGGCGAGCTGGTCTAGGTTTTACCGTGTTTTTAGACCACCTGAGACTGGGTGGAAGAAACACGACGACGTCTCAAAATTTGAGACGTCGTCGTGTTTCTTCCACTCAGTCTCAGGTCGTCTAAAAAATGGTAAGAAAGTATTATTCCTTTGCATCCAAACTAGGGGAACCGTTGTGGTCTGGTTTTTGTAGCTGGGTTGTGTTAGCAACATATCTACAAATCACCATCATATGATCTGTACTTCATTTTTGTCTTTGTTGGTGAATATACTGTCGGATTTGGAACGTTGACTGGACTGGTCCTGTCCTTTTTCTCTGCCGTGTCCCTGAGGACACCACATTTTTGACGACGATATGCTGAGCCTATTACGGCTCTACTACTAGCAGCCATGGCATTTTCCTCTGCTGTATCGCCGCACCCGGTCCTGCCTACGCCGGGACAGCCTGCAATTCGGTGGAAGCGGGTGTTTCTGAATTTTCTGGAAGCTGTCGGCGGCAATGAATTGCAGCCGAATAGTCAGAAAGCGATTCTGCTTAATGCCCTGGGCGTTGAAGGACAGCGCATGTTCTACAGCATCGTTGGGGCACGGACCGGTCAGTCACATTCTACCGAGAAGCCTCTCGGGGGGGGGGGGGGGGGGGGGGGGGGGTAGGGGTAGGGTAGGGTAGCAACAAAGCATCGAAGGACGGCTAGTCGGAGGGAGCGCCATCAGCTGAAGATGCGTTCCAATCTGCAATGATGGTGCTGTACGCTCATTTTGCCATGACTATGAATGTGCTCGTAGACCGTCACCGGTTCCGACAAAGATGTCAGGCGCCTAATGAGGCGTTCGAGGCCTACGCAGCCAGTCTGCGGGAACTTGCTTCTTCTTGCGACTACGGTAACGGCGTCTACAACGTCATTCGAGACCAGCTCCTCGAAGTCACTACCTCTCGTAAGATCCGAGAACGCCTGCTCTACGAAGGCTATACCCCCACACTCCAGAGAGCGATTGATATTGGCAGGCATATTGAACAAATGCAACGGGAGATCCACGAGTTTTATGGCGACGCTTCTGTGCAGCGCATGGCACCGAAGAAAACTGAGAGATCTACTTTGGAAAAAGGACGTTGCTACCGCTGCGTGTCACAAGCTCACAAGGCAAACTACGACAAATGCCTGGCGAAGAACAAGTGTTGTCGCCAATGCAAGAAGATTGGCCACTTTGAAGTAGTCTGCAAGTGGAGCGAGATGTCCAGTGTTCAAGCCGTCAAGGATCCGAAGTCGGCGGAAGCTAACGTTGTCACCATTCTGCACATCGGCGACGACTACAGACGTGCACTGGAAATATCTATGGAGGTGCTCATCGGCAACGTGCCCATTTGCTTTCTCGTGGACACAGGGGCCACAGTTTTCCTGTTAAGTGAAACAGACTACCGCAAAAACTTCGCTGAAAGGTATCCCCTGAATGCGACGTCAGTCGTGTTGCAAAACTACACAAAAGAGGAAATCCCAAGCATCTGATGTTCTCTGGCCGAGGTAACCTACAGAAACAGGGACGCCTGCGTCCTGTTCTACGTGACCAAGACAGAAATTTCGTTATTGGGACTTGACGCAATTCGTAACCTTCGTATCAACATTGAAGGAGAAACGCTCGGCTGTTGTCAGGCTGTTACTTTACCGCCCACTACGTTGCTACCATTGAGTCTAGAGGAGGAGTTTGGACAATTTTTTTTCCAAAGACCTCGGACTTGCTAAAAACTTTGTGCACCAAGTTCAGCGACGTACGTCAGTGCAGCCAGTTACGAACAATTGCGTGGCCGATGCCTTATCACGGTTACCAGTGGAAAGTCTTACAGGTCAAGAGAAAGAAGAGGAGATAGTCTCCATTGTTACATCATGTGTAACCAAAGAACAGCTGCAAGAAGCAACCGCAGCAGATGCTACTCTGCGGGACGTTGTGCGTTTCGTCTACGAGGGATGGTCCTCAAAGAAGTCGCTGGACACCAACCGATTCCATTTTACCACATTCAGGAAGCACTGTCGGTGGTTGACAAGCTGGTGCTGTGGGAGGAGAAGGTGTTCATACCTGAAGCTGTGATGCCGTTGATGGTACGCTATACATGAAGCCCACCCTGGTATTGTGCGGACAAAGCAAAGGCTCAGGGACCGGTTTTGGTGGCTTCACATGGACCGTCAACTGGAGTTAAAAGTCAGAAGCTGCCACATCTGCCAGGAAGCAGACAAGTCTGCAAAGCCTGTGCCCGCTGCGCTGCAGCCGGTTGCTCAACTGGATCGTCCATGGCAGAAGTTGGCCATGGATATTGTCGGACCACTGGCTCGAGCCCCACCAGACAAAAAGTTTGTAATTACACTGATACACTATCACTTGAAATGGCCTGAGCTCTTTTACAAGCCATGTGACCTCCCAAACGGTCATTGAGTTTCTGCGCTCGGTGTTCAGTAGGGAAGGGTACCTTGAGGAGATTGTAACAAATAATGGGATGCAATTTAAATCCAAGGAGTTCGAGGATTTTCTTCAAGAAAGGGGAATCTGGCACTGCCTGTCTTCAGTATACTATCTGCAAGCGAATGGATTGATTGAGGGATTCATCCAGCTTGCTATCCCCAAGAATCACCCTCTGCAGTCTGCAGTTACCGTCTATCTGGGCGTTTACAGATCGTTTACAGATGTACCCCACACGGCACGACCGGAATCTCCCTTGCCATTCTACTGCATGGTCGGCAGCCAAGAACAAGGTTAGATGTAATAAGACTGCCATCCAAGGACTTCTTTCAACGACCAGAGGCCGAGATGAAGTCTCTTCGGAAGAGAGTCGAGGACCGGCAAAGCAAAAGCAAGGCCTACACTGACGAAAAACGTGGTGCAAAAGCTGCCAAGTTCAAGCTAGGCGACTTCGTCAGAGTGTGCAAGCCGCCTGGTGGCAGGAAAGCAGACCTTCGGTATACGACACTGTTAAAGATCCTAAAAAGAAAAGGGCCAGGCACGTTTGTGCTGGAAGACGGGCGTACGTGGAACGTTTCGAAATTAGTTCTCACCCTCAAGCGGAAAAAGAAAAAGAACCAGGTTGCCCAGAATGGTTTCCGTTGAATTTAGGGGCACCGATGGAACCGCAGTCAGTTCCATCCGGCTAGAGATCGTGGCCAGACGAGCAGCCGCCTGAACTTGCTGTGGCAGAGCAGAGGACACCGGCTGGATGGGAGGAGTCTATCTCCATGCTTTTCCCAGCTTCCCAGCAAATGCCGTAACCGGACACTAACGTGCGGCAGCCCTTAACACAATCACTTAAACCACCAAGCTGGCTCGGGATTATGTCACATAGCATGGGAAGGAATGAAAGGCACACATCAGACACTGATACTTTGTCTCGCTTGGTATTACTGAAATAGTGTTGATTTTTTCTTAGGGGAAGGTAATGTTGTGTTCTGGTTTGTGAGGCTGGGTTGTGTTAGCAACATATGTACAGTCGCCGCAGGAGTTAATAGCTCCTTGCGAGCGCGCATTTATTTTCGAGGGGCGCTTGACTGGTGGCTTGCGATAGAACTAGAGATGAGGCTAGGGCGAGTCCATGCGGAGTGGACGAGGGAAGCCATCTCAACTCAAGGGAACCGTTGTTATCATCCGTCTGCCTGCGGGTGAGCGTAATTCGAATGAAAAAGGGAGATGATTCTGCAGAAGTCAAGATCGAAAAGCACACATGGGATGGCACGCACGACTTCTGCAGAATCATCTCCCCTTTTCATTCCAACTACGCTCACCGCAAGCGGCAGGCGGATGATAACAACGGTTCCCTTAAATTGAGACGGCTTCCCCCGTCCACTCCGCATGGACTCGCCCTAACGTCATCTCTAGTTCTATCGCAAGCCACCGGTCAAGCGCTCCTCAGAAGAAAACGCGCACTCGCGTGGAGCTATTAACTCCCGCGGCGACTGTACAAATCATCATCACCACCATATGATCTGTACTTTATTTTTGTCTTGTTGATGAATACACAGTCAGATCTTGAACGTTGACTCAACTGGTCCTGTCCTTTTTCTCTGCTGCGTCCCTGAGGACACCACAGGGTATAGCTTGCAAGTGTCGGCATTGCTGGGTACTAACGGTTATTTCTACTTGCTTTTTTTTTTTTTTTTTTCTTCAAATTACAACTTCTGCGGTGTGCAACCAACACGACGAACTGAACGTTCGCTGCGCATAAAATACTGGCGTGGACGCGGCTCGGTATCTTACTCTGTCAAGTATGCCAAAAAGGTTTTTTGTTTTTTTTCTGCGTGGATTATTTACTAGGTGGACCTCTCCAAAATTCAGTGCCATCTGGTGGCTGAAATGGCGGTTTATCTTTTGCCGTACTAATGGTGGGAATAAACCCATAGCTTGCAGTATTTTATCAGGCACCGTCACTTTTGCAAGTCAACGGCAAACGAGAATGTGCTTTTCACTGTACAATTCTTTCTCAATCATCACTTTCAGTGTCGATTGTCACAAAGATAAAACCAGTCAGAACAAAGTGCCAACCCAGATAGACACCTTGATAAAGTTCTATACATCAAGGGGCTTTGAAGTTGATTCGGTGCTACTAACTGATTGACTGGGCCCAAGTTATAGAAACGAACGCTTATGCAGCTCTTGCATTAATTTCCTGCTTTGCAACATGCTAACGTCTCAAATGCATAGGCCTCGAATCCTCAGTTAAGGAGTATCCTCAACTTGTTCCTTCATGGGTAAACAGAAGACCGCCATCATCATCTGAAAATGGCACATATGCCATTTTTCAGATGATGATGATAGTGATCAAAGTGGCCAGACTGAATTTCGGAAAGGGTGTATAACAAGCTCTTAAAGGGATACTACAACGAAATTTCGGCGCTCATTTTTTGGTCTATATGTGTTCAAAAGAGCAGTATCACACGGAACATACCAATATTTTGTTAAAAAAGTTTCGAAAAGAAATTTTAAAATGAATTAAACGATTAGCAAAGAGCACCTGGTGGATGTCGCTACCGCCTCGTTTGTAATGCTCGTCTAGGAACTTCGACAGCTAGTGACGGAGGTTGTCTCGTCTCCGGCCACGAGAGAAGGGGGCAAGGAGGAACTCCCCTCTTCCCCGAGATTCCCTTTTGTGTGTCGCAGAAGTCGCTATTGTCCCCCTAGAAGATTATAGAAGATTAGCCCGTCACTCAAAATTCGTACAAAAGCAGCTGCTTCGGTGGCTGGAACGACTAGGCCATCCTCTCGACGTCAGCCTCGCCGTAGCTTTGCTCGTCTTGAGACGACCTACGTTACGATTGGGTTGGATGTCACATGCTCTAAGCTGGGCCTTCTCCGAGCGCTTGCCAAAGTGGGCCGTTTATAACGAAAAATACAGCCACCAGGATCAAAATACAAACGTGCGATTGTCATTTACGGATATTGTGGATCATATTCAACCTATTTTTGAACATGACGGGAATATTTCAAATTTCGTTGAAGTATCCCTTTAATGTGCGGATCTAATTACAAAATTGTGGTCTGCAATTGAGGACAAACAGCATAAAAAGTTGAGACAGGCCGTGCTCCTTTATTATGACAATGCTCCCAGTCTCTGGGCTTGCATCGCAATGGATGCCATTACTAAAGAAAGCTTTAGAAATACTGGAATATCCACCGTATTCAGTGGATCTGGCTTCCAGTGACTGCACTCTTCAAAAAGTGGAAGAAACACGGGAAGATATTTTAATGGGTAATGAAGTGACAGAAGCCGGAGATGCGTGGTTTGCTGAGGGTGGACGTACTTCTTTCCAGGATGCAATAAAAATGTTATAGGATTGCTGGGACAAGTACATTTGACTTCAAGAAGACTATGTTAAAACAAGGCTCAATGTACACCTAAGCACTTCTTATGAGTTGTGAATGCGAAAGCGTGTACGTCATTCTTCCGCTCTCTTATTTCATTGGCAGTGTATTTGCGTCGACGGCAGTGCGCACCCTCTCCTCGCTGCTCTGACCTTAAACGTTTTGTGTTATCAGCGCGCTGATGGACATGCAGCGCCATGAGGTGGCGGTCGTTGAAACTGACGCGCAGCGGCCAGTGGGAGCCTCGTCGAAGCGTGCCAGCCAGTAGGACTGAAGCCGAAATCCATCAGCTTTACTCCGCTCTTTTGGGATCGGGGAAACTAGGTGCCGTTTGGCTAGACCTTTCGTGTGGTTTCATAGCTGGGAGCTGGCTTCACTTGAAGAAAGGATTTAAGGTGCCGTTTGGCGCGGTTTCAAAGCTGATGATGTCTGCTCGCTCCTTGGGACAGTTAATGCTTTCACATTAAAATAAGAGTAGCACTTCCAGTTTTTACTCCAAAAAGGGGTCGAGTGAAGCACAGGGATCAACCCTTGTATATGCTATAGTCGGTGACAGGTCAAGAAGGAAGTGGAAGCTCCTCCTACCCCTTTCCACCTTAGTAGTGCGAATGCTGGTGAGGAGGCGACCTCCTCTCCACCGTTCGCTCCGCTGAAGTGGGAAGAGGTGGGAGGGGCTTCCACTTCATTCTTGACCTCCCACCGACTATAGATGGGGCTTCAATGGCAGGTTTCTGTTCTGTCTGGACCGTACTTTAGCGGAGTTTCGTCTGGACAGAACTCTATCTAGTTGTGACTATCGATTTGTCTGGACTTAACTCTACATGGTTTGCTAACTTTCCCTTTGGACAGAACTCTAGTGGTGACTACCACCCCATCTGGATGGAACCCTAACCACAGCCATTTTCGAAATGTCTTTGTGGAAATCGCCTTGCCCCTTGTGTTGGTCATATTGTTTGTTTTTATTATGCCATGTACAAGTCAAACTCAAAATTGTTTTATGGTTTCTTTGAAGGTAGCAAAGTGCAGCTGGTCATTAAATTTATCTGCTTATTTGCAGGTGCGATGCTACGCCTCGCAGAAGCACCAGAAACTCATTCTGGCAGCGCAGAAACGGAACAGGCAGAGGAAACTCGAGAAGCCGAAGGAGAAGGAGAAGCTTCATTGGATGAAACGGACATCGAAGTAAGTTGGTGCCATGTAATGTGCTCTTGAAATAGTGTTTCACGAAATGGCATTGGCCTTGGCAACTGGTCTTTTGCATGCTGGCCCCTTCACATGAATACCATCTGTGCAGCAGAGTGCCAAATTTCATGTATAGACACTGCTAATTTTTTTTTTTTTAATGTGGTGGCACCACGGTGTTTATGCAAATGATTTGTCGGCAGCACTGTGAATCAAGCTATCTCTTTTCAGATTAATAAAAAGTGAAAGCCGTTTACAACTCCCTCTAACGCCGAATTAGAGCGCAGCTCTTGAGGAGGAGGAGGGAAGGGTACTGAGGATCACGTGTTCTGGAAGGGGGGGGGGGGGGGGGGGGTTTGCATGACCCCCTCCAGGTTATGTCACCCCCCCACATGACCTCGGGGAGGGGGGTCATGTGACCTTCCAGAGAAATTTTTCCGCTAGATTTAGCGAGGAAATTTTTTCCGCTATATTTAGTGGGGAAATTTTTCTGCTACATTTAGCGGGAAAATTTTTCCGCTGGATCTAGCGGGAAAATTTTTCCGCTGGATCTAGCGGGGAAATTTTTCCGCTAGATTTAGCGCCCAATTTACCCATAATGCACCGCGCAATTACGCCGACGGCGACGCCGCTCAAGCTGGAAGCGGGCGCCTAAGAGCTGCGCTCTAAAACGAGAATACAGCTGTCATGGTGACTCTAACCCAAAACTGGGGCATGAGGAGGAAAAAATTTTACAGTAAAGAAAAAGGAAACGGGGACAGACGTCTCTGACTCAGCTAATGGTTTCATTTAACCACCCTCTTGGTTAAATGAAACCTTGTCTTGTCCCCACCTGAAGGAGGGGACAGGACAGAGCACTCTGTCCTGTCCCCTCCTTCTCTTCTTAGTCCTTTGCACTTTTTAAAACCACAGTCTAGGTGTTTAACCAACTAGCCCCCCAATTAATTCTGATGTGTTCTGTTGTTTTGGTTGTCCTTTTTGTGATGTGGTGAGTGTGGGTTTTGTGCACTGGCCTTAAAGAAGCAATGTTCTGCAGTCCTGTGGTGTAGTGGATCTGTATATAAGAAGGGTGGGTGAATAAAATCACTAGCCGAGTTAGAGACGTGTCTGTCCCTGCTTCTTTTTCTACCATTGTAAAATATTTGCCTCCCCTCCCAGCTCACCTGCACACTGATTGTGTTTTCGTTAATAGTACAGCTGTGTGTCTATAGTTGATTGTTTTGTTTCTCCATGCAACAAACTATTTGTGCTGCGAAAACAATTTTAGTTAGCAACAGGCTAGGAACGCAGTAGAAGCTCTGCATCCAGCACACGCTCGTCCTTTCATACGAGCTTTGGCCACGCGTGCGATGAAGTGTTATGAATAGCAGAAAGCTCGTGCTGCAGGCGGAGGGAGCATCTACTGAATTCTTAACCTGTCTCCTCAGAAGTTGACCCACTGTTGCCTTCATAATTTTCACAGTCTATGACCCCTTGCTTACCCTTACAAAATAACGACCATGTTTCCACACTTGCTCAGGGACAGCTTATTGAAGCCCCGAAGAGACAACTTTGACCACCTCGACAAGAATCCACCCGTGGACGACGTCTACTTTTTGGAGTCCTTCGTGCCCCCCGTCTATGCCGCCGTGGATGCGATCGAGATGCACAGGGAGTCTCACCACCCCACCGTGCTTGACGATGCAGACGCTTTCCTCTACGCCTTTGTAGAGCTTGACTTGAGCACCAAGAAAAAGGTGAGTCGTAATGCTCTCTCGCAGTCGCCTTGGGATGGAAATCCTGCTTTGGATGAATCGTAGCTCACTTTCTTGATATCTGTATGTGGTAACACCCCTACCGATGGCCGTCATTGTTGACGAGTCTCGAGTTCTCACTATTAATACATATCATATAGGTTCGATGGTAGTTCGCAAAGAGCAACATTTTTAGCATGTTGGAATTTCAAAACAAACTAGAAAGGATAAGGCTTGCAAGGCTTTCTGTGTGGAACCTAAATATTCCCAACTGAGCAAGGAAGCCTGTTCACAGATATAATTCTGTTCGGACTAAATGGGTGAGCCATCTTTCTTGCAGCCTATCGGGTCACATGTTTTGATGCCCGAGAGCTATTGCCAATGTCAGATGTGCATTTCAGCTTGTTAGAGCACCTGTCATTTTGATGTGCATTTCAGCTTGTTGGAGCACTTGAAGTCTTGAATTACAGAAGCTTGTGACCACACAACCCACAGTGTTGGCACTGTTCTTTCTTTGCAGAACAGGTACAGGGACAACTTTGCTGGCACTGTCCTATTCAACCATGGGTTTGAATTTACTAAGAGGCAGAAAAGGATTCTAGCGCTTTGCAAGGTAAACACTGACTTACCTTTTAGGCATGTTTTAAGTTGAAAATATACTTAATATGCTCACGGCATGCCCATGTTTCAGAACACTGACCTAGCCACCGAAGCTCTTGAGGCAGGAGCAGAAGTGGCTGGAGGCTCTAGCGTCATCAAGAGAGTAAGTTCCAAAGCTACTTAATTATTACTAAAGAAGAATGCCAATAGTGTCAGTAGCCAAGTCATTCGTGGGCTGTTATTTCTAGTAAATTGTTTCCGTAATTGTCTCCTCCTCCTTTCTCAGTTCTACTCTTATAAAAGTATATATGCCGGCCTGTCAGTAAAATTTGTGCAGACTACTGTACATGGGTAAATATAATGTGATACAGAATGCTTTTCTTAGCAGGCGTCTCTGGCAATACCGGAACTCACATGTTTCAGATTCTGACCGGGGAACTGGACACCAAGCGCTTTGACCATGTCCTCGCTCATGTGGACATCATGGCTGATCTTCCTCAGTTGCGAGGACTTCTAAAAACCAAGCTGCCCTCGGCGGCCAACGGTGGGTACTGCGCGCCTTTCTGAACACACTGACGTTGGTCAAGAGCGACTCTACGGATTCAGTTACCACGACCAAAGTCATTCAAGTTTATTATGAATGGCTGTGCCACAGGGTGAGATAACTCCACTAAAAATGGCGTAGAAGAATGAAGCCCTGGTTTAGGTTAAAGGTAACTGTACCCAGATATTACTTGAATCAGTCATATATTGCTACAAAGAAGAGAAGGGAGGTACAACAAGGAAGTGAAACAACAGCAGCATATCAGACAGTTCCCTCATCCTTTCAGATATTTAATCTAAACATTAAAGGGAAGCTGAAACACTTCTTGAAAAAAACAATTTAAAGGTGAATTCTGGCACATTTTTATCCTGTGAATCTGAATATCACATTTGTTTTCCCTAGAGATGTAACTAAATGCGAGAAAACACGAAAAACCTCCGACCAGACGTGATGTCATACTAAAATGTTTGGGCTACCAAACGTGTGTCGCTCGTGTGAACAGCGCGTGCCATTACAAGCTTGTCAGGTATATATCTCCGCACGTGCATCAGTCGTGACGTTTCTTTCTGACCATTTTGAAAATGGCAAGAGTGTGCGTGCTTAGATTTGATAGGCGCTGAAGATGCGTGACAGCAGAGGTTACAAAAAACTCCTACTATGACGTCGCGCCTCAACAAGGAAGGGGTTCAGCGGGCCTTTGGAAATTAATTTCCGCAGTCTGCATGCACCAAATTGTGTAGTGAAGCTCGATATTCGAGATCCTGGAGGCCAAATGAAGAAGAAAAAGAAAATAGATGGTGCTATGGAGATGATTTAAGTGTTTTTTCTCAAATATGGAACCGCTTCAGTTTCCCTATAAATGCTACATATGACCCGGCTGTCCGCCTGGAGGTAGCAGGGATGGACACGGATGGCAGACCCTCCTTGCAATGTGTCTACTTTCACTGGAATGACAACTGAAATAGACCCACTCTGAAAAATAGCATGCAGGATCAATGTGACTATCAAGTGTGAAGTTTACTATACACTTTATTTAGTCAAGTAGTTACTGCCTCATCTTCTTAGTGGAATGGCCGCTACGAAAATGCTTGTGTGTCTGGTGCCATTTTGCAAGGTGTGGGTTTCTTCGTGTAACGACGCACATTCAGTTTACCAGTTACATCCCAGTGGCAAAGTAGACAATTATTATGTGCCTACAGTCACAATCACATTTAACTGGAGCTTGGGAGTAAATGTTATGCAGAAAAAAAACTAAAGCATAATAGCACCGAGACATACTTATGTGAAACGGTGCTACATATTGTCACGAATGACAAATGCTTCCTCTCCATCAATCGCCATACCGAATCTCCGTAAAAGAAAGGGAGGTCATCCAGGAGCAAGTTCAAGGGATGCTGAACGACGACATAATCCAGCCTTCAAGCAGTCCGTGGGCCTCTCCAGTCGTACTGGTTAAGAAAAAGGATGGAGCGCTTAGGTTCTGCATGGACTACCGGCAGCTGAATGCGGTAATGAAGAAAGGCGTCTATCCACTCCCCTGCATCAACGGCATGTTAGACCAACTGTGCCACTCTCGATGCTTTTCATCGGTGGACCTGAAGAGCGGCTACTGGTTGATCAAAGTCGACGAACAGGACCAAGAGAAGACAGCTTTCGTCACGCCGGATGGTCTGTACGAGTTCAAAGTGATGCCCTTTGGCCTATGCTTGGCACCAGCAACTTTCCAGCGTGTCATGGACACGGTACTTGCAGGACTATAGTGGCAGAGCTGTCTCGTCTACCTCGACGACGTCGTATTTTCCGGTGACTTTGACGAGCACCTGTGACTACTCCGAGCTGTCCTCCAAGCCATACAGACTGCCGGACTTACCCTCAAGCATAGGTCGGCATTTTAGAACCCCTTCATTCACCATCACATCACAAACAAAATCGCGTCTCCGAAGTCATTCACATTCACGTCACAAGGTACTCCGACCTCCCAAAGTCACAGCCCTTCACATCTCGGCGTTCAACGGCACCAAAACTTCATCCCCTTCACAACACACCTTTCAAACTCCGCCGAGAATTCATCCCCTTCACATCACGGTGTTCAACCATGCCAAGAATTCATCCCTATCACATCACCGCCGCCTCCGAATTCACGGAGTCATTCACCATCACCACGAATTCATCGGAATTCACCATCGTGAATTCATCGGAATTCACCATCACAATATGAATTCATCCGAATTCACCATCACTTCACGAATTCATCCGAATTCACCATCACTTCACGAATTCATCCGAATTCACCATCACTTCACGAAGTCGTCCGAATTCACCATAACATCACGAATTCATCCGAATTCACCATCACATCATGAATTCATTCGAATTCACCATCACTACACGAAGTTATTCACCATCACGGTCAACACGAATTCACCGGAATTCACCATCACATCATGAATTCCGCATAATTCACGAAGTCATTCAGGTTCATTCTGACTAAATTCAACTTCACTGCTGGTAGCCCTTCACGAATTTGCAGTTCTTGCAGAATAGGACTGTGGCGCCTTTTTGTGTCAGCCACTTGAAACCAAGACTATGGCCTACCAGGACCTGACTCTGCCGGGGAAGTGGGGTATTTCGAGTGCGCGAAACACAAACCACATTGATAGAGCGCCAACCAAGCGAATGCTGAGCTCCGATCGTGTCACGTAAATGTGCGCCGTGCGCCGCTGCGTGGAACCAGCAGGTCAAGCGATATGGTCTCGGCGCCGGATTAGGTGCGCCTGCTCGTGACGTCGGCTTCGGCTTCGCCTCTTTTGAAACGCTATATGGCTGCGCCGCACAGACGAAGCGGCGCCTGCTGCTACTAGTGGCCGCAGACACCGCGGCTGCGCCACGCACGACTCGCGAGCGAAACGGCACAGCGAGGGCCTTCAGGGATTCCGGACCATATGCCCCGAGACACGGAAAAACAAAGTTGGCAAGGAGCTCAATTGATTCACAAGGAACCGCTCGGAAGAACGGCAAAATTAAATGTCAAGTGTCAAAGAAAACGACTACCCCCTCTCCCCCTCCCCCTCATTGCCACTGCCACCGCACCTCCCTCATAAACAGCTGTTACTACGAAAGTGCTCGACAAAGGGCCACCGCGCTGAGGCGCGCACGGTTACACAGTGAGACTGGTGCCCAAACCGCTAAAGTCAAATGGGTTCCTGTGGTTTGCGGTGAAGGATGAAAACAACCAGCAAGCAAGCAAGCACCTGAGTAGCATGTTTTCCGCCTATTCTGAAATCATAATCATAATCATAATCATATCACATCGAGAATTAAGTTCACAGTATTACTTCCCATCACAAACTTATCAAGTTCACGAGCCACGCCCATCACAAATTCATTGTGTTCACGAGCCATTCACCATCACGTCACAAATTCATTGAGTCATTCACATCACAATGAATTCTATTCACTTCACGAAGTCCTTCACAATCACAACACAACATGAGTTCATTCAAATTCACGAAGTCATTCACCATCACATCTTCATTCAACATCACATCATGAATTCATTCAAATTCACAAAGTCATTCACCATCACATCACAACTTCATTCAACATCGCATCACGAATTCATTCAAATTCAGTCATTCACCATCATATCACGACTTAATTCACCATCACATCACGAATTCATTCAAATTCACGAAGTCATTCACCATCACTTCATGACTTCATTCACTATCACATCACAAATTCATTCAAATTCACAAATTCATTCACCATCACATCACGAATTCATTTAAATTCACAAAGTCATTCACCATCACATCACGAATTCATTAAAATTCACGATGTCATTCACCATCACATCATGATTTTTTTCGAAGTCAAGAATTTATTCAGAGCCATTCAAATTCACGCTGTGAATGTGAATGAAGGTGAATGAGCGAGTTCAGGAATGAATTTGCCGAGGTACGCCCTCAAGCTGTCAAAGTGTCAGTTCGCCTACGGCGATCTAGAGTTCCTGGGTTAGTGGTTAGTAACAAAGGCGTTTGCCCAGACCCAGAGAAGACTCACGCCATCACAGCATTTTCAGCGCCGACAGACGAGAAAGCCGTGCACAGGTTCCTTGGACTATGTGCATACTATGGGCGCTTCGTTCGGGATTTTGCAAGGATGTCTGCACTGCTCACAAACTTCACGAAGGACGCCAAGAAGTTTAAATGGTCCGAGGAGCAGCAGCAGGCATTCGACGAGCTGAAGCGACGTCTCCAGACTCCTCCTGTTCTTGGACATTTTGATCAGGATGCTGAAACCTAGATTCACACGGATGCAAGTAATACTGGTTCAAGAGCAAGAAGGCACTGAGCGAATCATCGCCTACGTAAGTGGGACACTGTCCAAGGCGGACAAAAAATACTCCACGACTGAGAAAGAATGCCTTGCGGTCGTCTGGGCAATCATAAAGTTTTGTCCGTACTTGTATAAGAGCCTGTTCCACATAGTCATGGACCACCTCTCGCTCTGCTGGTTTGCGAAGCTCAAGGAACCGTCAGGATGCCTCGCTCGATGACTACAAGAGTTCACCATGACTGTGGTCTACAAGTCGGACTGCAAGCACAGCGACGTCGACTGCCTTAGTTAATTTTAACATAACTACTGTAGAATACTGCGCATCCGCCCATTCCACACTAAGCGCCCATACTCAAATTTGTAAGATCTGAGAAAATATGCACAGTACATTGATCTGTTAAATTGATGACCGGACAAGAGCCCATCCCCCATTTTTTCAAGATTATCTCTAAATTTTGAGTGGGAGCTTGCCCGGTATTTTACGGTATATGAACTGTGGCATGTAAACAACAGATTTGTTGCAGCTATCCAAATCAAATAGATAAAAGTGAATTTATCTGTCTGCTTGCTATATGCAATTTTTTTTTTTTTTCTATTTCAAATTTGTCAAAAAAAGAAAGAAAGAAGCATGGACGATGAATGTGGGCTGTCAAGACATCGCTGCTTAACGTAGACCAGGGGTTCTCAAACTGGGTTCCGGGGAACACAGGGGTTCCACGAGCTGGTCTCATGGGTTCCGCGAACACCAAAATTGCAACCCCCCTCCCCTGCCCCCCCCCCCCCCCCCCCCCCTTGTGCCGCAGGCTGCGTGGCAATATCATGCAAAGCACCTTCATCTCACTTTGTACTGACATTGCGATTGATATGGTGGGGATATATGGGAAGCAACACAAGCAAAATTGCCTACAATTGTGCATCTGTTGCTTCTCGGTCGGCAAATATGGGGGGGGGGGGGGTTCCGTGGCAGTTTTTGAAGCTTCCTGGCGTTCCGTGAGGCCAAAAAGTTTGAGAACCCCTGACGTAGACCTTGACAAAAAAGGGCTCCTGGCCGGTTCTCTTTTCAGTGTTTGTGCATATGGTGCGTGATTTGCTTGCTTTCCAAAGCAACGAACAGGCGCGTGCTGGGCTTAGTGGGTCGCACGCTGTGCTGGGGACTTGTAAATATTGGAATGGACCCTTCCAAAGTCGCAGCTGGTTAGCCCCGTTGAGTGCGCTTCTCACGGAACATCTGTGCACTGCGGGGAAGCAATACCCGCAGTGCTCACGGGCTCCGCGGGTATTGCTTCCCCGCAGTGCACAGATGCTCAGTGAGAAGCGCACTCAAAGTGGTTACGCCGTCGCAATGAACACTCCGAAAAGTATGAATATCGCAGTTTACCTCAAAGCTAATATCGAACAGCCTATTATTCGAAACTAGCATTAGAATATTTGCTCAACACTAGTTTTAATTACTTTCTTTTATCATGATTGTGACTGCTCCTGGTTTGCTTCGTAAACCCGGGCGACAGCAAATCGCCAGAAGCTCTGTTGTGGCATAGTACCTGGAATTGGTAGCGGTGCTTGAAAACCCTCAAATTTGTTGATGATAGTCAGATTTTTTTTTTCTTCCATATTTAATTAATTGTTTGCAATAATATATAAATATTTTTTTGCGTGTATGTTAACATAAATTCCAAAGTATCAACGAGGAAGTTTTCTTATACGGCACATTTAGACACATTCAGTGGATGCCCGTTAAACACCTGGCCACAGTGGCAGCAGTCCCGGTGGTTCTAGATCCGGTCTTGCCCGTCTGTCATCTGGCAAACGTGCCCGTTGTTCGCCTTGTTCTCTCGCGTGCTGTTTGCTATAGTTACTCCTGGTTTGTTTGTTCCGCTTCTGTTTTATGCTACACATGGCGTACGTTGTTCAAGTTGTGTGTGATGCCTGGGATGTGCAACTAGTAACTACAGACACTGAGAAAGCAGAGGCAACAGGTGGCATCACCTATATTGTCAAGTTGAACAGCCTAAGGAAAACGGCGAAAACAAAGATGCAAGACCTTCTAAACATCAAACAGGAAATCAATGAAAAGCTGGAGTAGATCTACCGAACCCTTTACTAGCACCTCTTGGCAAATCCACCCTCTCCTAGGTATCCTGCAATAAAAATTGTTGCAGTGCATTTGAAAAAGTTATGTTATCAATTTACTAAATAGGGGATTGGAAGGGGTCCTTGAAAATATTTTTACAGGCCCTTAGAAGTCCTTGAAAACCCTCGTATTTTTCTTTGAAGTTTGTACGAACCCTGTAGTAGCTCATTAGATTACCGTATAAACTCGTGTAAGGGCCGCACTATCTCCCCGATTTGAGGGCAAATTTTCGAGGTGTGGCCCATACACGGATTAAAAAAAAAAAAAAATCTGTATCCACATTCCTAAATGAACGTACATGAGCGCGCTCGGCTCCACCGGTCGAAAAAAGCCTCCATTCTGGAATCTGGACTCAATTGCCAGTCGGATTTAATTAGTTTACTTGGTACGCAATACACTCTTTTTTTTTTCCGTACTTGATAGCATGCGCGGCAACTTTCGGCTTGAATCCCGTATGTCTGTCGAAGTGGTACTTGCCCATAGCTCTCAGATTGCACGAAAAGGCAGACAAATCACGCCGCTTTGACACGAATCAAAGAACAAAAGGAAACCTCCCCAGAGCGTACAGTGGCGTTCGGAAACATGAGTGCACACGCGAGCTGAGCTCGCTGAATCCCTATTTGTTGTGCTTGCCACGGAACCTGACATATCCTTTATCTTTTCTCAATGCCTTGCCGCAACATATATGCATCCCGACGGTGCGGCCGACCCGGGCCGACCACGATCGAGGTCGACAGCCGTTTTGCCATACAGTGATACGGATGAGGGGAGAGCAAATATCAGGGATGCCGCTACGTACTCGGGCGGTGGCTAGTGCCACCCAGCGATATATATTCATAGAAACATGGCATTACAGTCGGCGCGCCTCAAAAACAAGGGGGTGCGACACGCGCGCAAATAATTTCTGTAATTTCTTTTTTTTTTTGCAATACTCTGTTCTAAATACGGGAGTGCGGCCCTTACAGGGGTGCGGCCCTTACACGCGATTATACGGTATCACACTCTTGTAAAAAAACTACCACATTTCACAAGTAGTTGCTATTTTTAATAATTGGAGCCCAAGCAATCAAGATAATTTTCCTGTTCGATACTGGCACTCTAAGCTCCGACTTCGGCACTTTTGGGAGCACGCTGTTTCATGTCAGCTCACAAACTCAAAAGATTTCCGAAGATGATCTAACATGCAAGTAACCGGTGCTCTTTGCTTGACTCCAGGCACTGTGGCCAACGACCTGAATGCTCTGGTGAAAAGCTACCTGAAGGGAGTCGAATTTGTCTCTAACAGCGACTCGCATGAGCTCGACTACGGCTTCCTGGAAGTCCCTGTTGGAAGGGTAAGCCTTAAAATTGACTCGCACACTTCCATTTGCTTACGATCAAGTTCTTGTGATCTCTCATGGTGTAGTAGTAGTAAATACGCTTATTGAAAAGAAAAGGAGATTATGTCGTTGCACCGCTACCACATGCGGCGTTCGACCGCATGTGGTAGCGGTCGAACGCCGGACACGATCCTGGGGGGTTCCCCAGGATCGTGTCCGGTACCAAAATCTTGTCGACATAAAATTCCAGAAACCTCTGGACAGCCACCGCCACCTATAAGCGACGGCGGCAAGCACACAACCAGTCTGGTTGCCGCCATCGCTCGTAGATGGCAGCAACCTTTCCCGCTATCATTGAAGAATGGATAGCTGGGCGCATTGGTGGGAATCCATCGTAGGAAACAGTGCGAAAAACAGACGAGGACGAAGAAGAAACACGTGACGAGCGCAGCGCTCGTCACGTATGTTTCTTAGTCCTCGTCTGTTTATCGCACTGTTTCCTATGCTCTTATCAGTTTCGGTTTAGACTCAGGATGGGGCATGCGCATGCTTTTTCGGGGAAAGAAGACTGGGTGCGGCAAAGCGGCGACGTACACGGCAGCACGAATAGGTCCGCAATCGGCGTGAAGCCGCTGTCGCCTCGACTTCCACTGTGTCCATCGCTTTGACTCCCTTGCGAAAGAAGATCTCATCGCTCGCCTGGAAAGCCGCCGCCGAGAACAGAACCAGCGATGTAAATCGGCGCCAGCAGGCTACGGAGGCCAAGCGCAAGCGCGAGGCCCAGCGACGACAGCACTCCATGCCGGCTGAACAGTTCCCGGGTGCGACGGCGAGGTTCCGGAGGGAGTTCGTGGAGAACCCGCTTGGCATCACGTGCGTCGTGTGCAATCAACTCTGGTTCGCCGGAGACTTATCCTTGATCGGCGGAATGTCAGACAAGAAAAATCGGGAAACGGGCGCGTGCGCGCTGCAGCAGTGTATCGAGTCGGCGGACGTCTACAAAGAACCGGCGTGCAGAACGTGCCGAGATTTCCTGTTCAAAGGCGCAGTGCCCCGGTTCGCAACCGTAAACGGCTACAGGTACCCACCCGTGCCGGAGCACCTACCGAGGTTGAACGGGGTGGAGGAATGACTAGTGGCGCCTCGACTCCCATTCATGAGCCTTCGGCGGTTGACATGGTATAACAAAGACAATCGGGGACAATACGGTTCTCACATAACCAATTACTCAATCACACCTTAATTCTTACTTTTATAAATACTTAATGTCCACCCTAGTACAGCTTCGCTGGTTTTCCTTCTTCCCGAGAGTGGAAAAACAAAGTTTTTTGTCATATAATACGCTCGAAGAAAAATATTATTGTAAAAGATGTGTGAAGATAAGTAATATTGGTAAGTCAATTGCATACACAGTGCCAAAGGGGCGCTTTCAGTACCGACACTTCATCACAATCTTGGCACGACTGTTTCGGAAAGACTCTTTCGAAGCTTTGAAAGGAGCAAAATTGCGATTGCCATGGAAACGCATACCATTCCACCAGTCACCTTGCAAGGTTTGGGTCATCCATACGTTAATATTGGTTTGTGTTATGCTAACAGGCAGGGAAGGTAATGGTGCTACAATCCCAGGATTGGGCGACTTTAGTGCAATCCAGCGTGCCTAGATTTGAATGTGTCCCCGACTGATTGATCGTGGTCGAGTACTCAATGGGCCGTATTTGCAATACGATTTGCGAGGAGGAGGCGGCGAATACGTCAAACGAACACAAGCTCTGCCTCTTCGCTGCCACGCTCTGCCTCTTCGCCCACTATCCTAGCTCCCCGCCCCGCAGCAACGTATGTGTGCGCACATTCACCCAATCTGCACGGAGGAGGCTTCCCCCCTTAAATTAAAAGGGCACTTGCTGGTCTAAATCTAGGCTATCTAGTGCAACAGAGACACACTTTCGTTTGCTCACGACAGAGTTCTCGTTGATCTCTTATGACAAGAGGATCACCACTATGAGGTGGCCCTGGAACTGCATTTCACTAAAACAAAGGTTTTGCGGCATCTGCTAGATCAAATGTGCATACTGTCTATTAGAAACTGTCATTAGTAACATCGTCAAAAAATGTTCAGTCCAATAAAAAAAATTATGATGCACGAAAAAAAATTTTAAATGTGTAAAAATTGCGAGCATTCCACGGCTACCTGACAGACAACATTAGTGTGCTGTCCCGACATAAGAGATCACAAAGGGTTGTAAGGCACTCAGTCATAAGCAGTCATAAGCATGAGAACCAGCCTTTACCGCTTGTAGACTTCTTCCATAAAAATTTCTTTCGTGGTTCCTTCTTTTTTTACTTTTTTGCAGCTGAGCATGCCGACTGAGCACCTTACAGACAATATCAGAACTCTTCTGGAGACTGTGGACGGGTTCAAACCGAAAAACACCAACCCAGGTGAGCATATCCTTTTGCTTAAACACTTCCGAGTGTTAAACGACCGGCCGCATTTTAGGCGACGCCGTGTCAGGGTGGTCCGACGCTTTCGAGGAAACATTCGTGATCGGCATTCGCTGCACGTAACTCAAACTGGGTATGTCTATTTTGGTACTGTAGTCTGTTGTAAGTTAAGAAAAGCAAGTCGCCCCCTCCCACAAAGCTGCCTGCTCACCGTGATTGGTGGTTTTCTCCTCTCTGCTCGCCTCCTCTCCAGCATTTTCTCTGCTCGAGTGGAAAGAGTTGAGGGCTTTGTGGGAGGATCTGGTCTTGCTTTTTTTAGCGTGTGACAGGCTATTAGTGCCTTGTCATCATGTGCACATTTCAAGGTGTACTACTGGGAAAATATTGCTCCAGGCTGTTAGACTGCTGCAACCGATTAGGGTGCCTAGCGTAAAAATATCAAGCTAGAATCCACGCTGGTGCAAGAACCCTTCTACCTCGTTTGTTTTCCAAGCACACATAAATTTGCTTAAGCAAGTGCCCATCCCCAAACTTCGTTAGTCATGTCTTGTTAATATGGACCACCCTGCTATATAAAGAGTTACCGAGAAAAGAGAACAGTGTTTTTCGGCCAGGGTAAATACACTATGCATCGCAGAATGCTCCAACTCCGTGAGAATGTGACGCTAGTGGTTGGAACAGTATTCAAAAGGTTGCGAACATGACGTGTCTTCAATTAAAAGGTAATGGAGAAAAACAAACTTCCTTTATGAGCCGACAACCAGCTAAGCCTAATTTCGTCAAAAAAAGAAATGACATTGTGGACACCTGTAGCATATATTTCAGTGAAACAAACTTGCCAGCAAAAAAGAAAACAATATTCTCTTTCTCACTGACAGGTGTTTTTCACCGATATAAATCCCACCCCACGATCATTCCTTGTTTTGACGATATTAGGTTTAGGTGGACGCGGCTCATAGATAAATTTCATTTTTATCATTTATCTTTTAATCCAGACAACGTCGTCATCTCAAACTTTTACGTTCTATCCCAACTGCTTGCCTCACATTCTCACAGAGTTTGAGCTTTCTGCGATGCATAGTTTATTTATCCGGGCCGAAAAACAGGGTTTTCTTTTCTCAGGAGTTCCCTGTAGACAACATTTTCAAGGCCGAACTGGGGAAGTGCATGCATTTTCGTCTCTTTATTTGGACAACTCACATTATGAACACTTTTTAGGGGGAACGGAGGCGTCCACGTTAACAAGACAGCAGTGTACATCATCTCTTGCTTGCACTCGGATGGTATCCCCCGATTATCATTTCTCCATTATCTCCCGGCGCCTTTTGACCGTGATAAAAAGCTCGCCCGTTTTGGCAGTCTCTGGCGCCCTTGTGAGCGAGCCAGTGCTTAAGGGGGGACACCACTTTAAAATTATTATTTTTTAGGGGGGGAAAAAAATTACAATTTTTTAGGGAAAAAATTACTTTTCTTATTTTTATGTGTTGTGGTTCCACAACTAATAGTGCACCCCCCTGTAAACATTTTATTGCAATATCTAAAGTATTTACGAAGAAATAAAACATTTTCGGTTAGTCAACGATGTAGAATCACATTTTGGAAATGTGAAATTTCTATGTTTCCTATTTTCAAACTGCACTGGTACGCCCTAGAATGATGATCATCCTCTCGTTGCAAAGAGCATTCCTTCACAATTTCAGTACATTAAACATCTTTGTTTGAGAGTAAACATTATTCGGGCAAGAACACCATAGAAGTCCAGCTTGCATGTAGGAGAGGCTATGCACATGGCCAAGAATGTAAAAGCCAACTCTGATTGAACAGAAAACTGACTAAAACCAACATTCGTTTATAGAAAGTCACGTGGGTTTGTGTACTTTGTATTTTGATGACGCTTGCCCCGCCCATAATTGCTGACGCTGGTTTATGTAATGCAAGCATATCCGATTTCTCACTCGTTTCCCAATCAGTGTCCACATGCGGAAAAAGAATGATACCCGAAAAAAGCATTTTAGGCTCGGACTAACTCGGCAAAGCCATGCATGAGATCAGATGTAAACACAAGACACCACCTATGCTTTCGATGCCTTTTAGTTGCCACCACCACCAGTAAAATCTAATGTTGTTGTAGCAACTTCTGTTTTTGGGAAACCTATCATTTCAATGAATTACCGAATTTATTCTTCGCTGTGGACGTTTTTGAACTGAAATTTAATAAGGAATCAGGCTAGATATTTATTTTTCTATTTAAATTAAGCTCTTATTGCCGAAAAGTAGGGTTTTAATGAGGAGAAGATGCCCCATTATGTGGAATGCTTTTCAAATTGACATTTTGCATAAAAAAAGACGCAGACTTCAGGGTATAGAGATAGTTGCACCCCCATATGTTCTAGCTAAGGCTGAAGCTTAGAAATGCTCAATATTCTGTAGCAATTTTATATGATAGATTTCCTTGCCAAGTGAGGCGACTTATACCCGTGTCACACGGGCAACTCGAATGCCATTTACAACGAATGACATTTGAACGATTGGCCAATCAGCGCGCGACACTTCAAGCGTGGGGCGCACCACGCGCGACAGATCGCAAGCCGATTGGTCGATCACACGAATGTCATTCGTTGTAAATGGCATTCGAGTTGCACGTGTGCCACGAGTATTACATCAATAGCTGTATACGTCCCCCCGTAGCTTATCGGAAAATCATCCTGTGGAGATGAAACGTCATACAGTGCATTTAGGCCACAAGATGAATAGACCCTTTAAATTTTAGCAACATTGAGTGACTGGTTTAAAAGTCAACTCTTGAAGGTGATGTCACCACTTAAAGCAGCACATGATTTTGCAGGGACGTTCATCACAAAGGTGGAGCTGAAGTGCCCTCCGACTGACGAGAAATTTGCGATAGCCTCCAGCGAATTCCTGGAAGCCTACATCAAGACAGAACAAGAGGTTGAAGACCAGGGGGAGGAGGAGGAGGAGGAGGAGAAAGAAGAGCCCAAAGAGGCTGAAAGGGCTGCATAACATCCTCCCAAACACGACCCCTCCTCAGATTGCTAGTTAGCGCGAGATTCGCTCATAATAAAATCGCCGTTACCAGGGCCGTACCCAGAAAAAAAATTCGGGGGGGGTTTTCGGGGACAACGGCGGCCATTTTGAAAATGTCTATTGTCTTATTTTCGCCTATGAATCATGTGCATCGGTGGCATATAATGGAGAGTTACAGCAAACCGGAGAACCGTCCCGGTTTAATACCCGGTAGCCGACCGGCGCCACTGCGCGTGCGCAGAGGTGGAGATTAAAATCGGCTGGCTGCCAGTGCACCGACCAGGGCCGTACCCAGAAAAAAATTTCGGGGGGGGGGGGGGGGGGGGTCAGAACCCCCTAACCCCCCCCCCTGGTTACGGCCCTGGCGGTTACACAACTTTCTACAGCAGTTTTTTTCACTCTAGATGTTGCAAGAAAATGTCCAGGTGTTAATGGGCTTCATTCCTGCTGACTCCTCCGTTTAGTGGTTCCGCAGATTAGAAAAGGCTAAAGTATATTTAACTTGCCAATGTCACTTCAAGTTGCTGCCTCTGAAAAATTTTCTAAACTTGCATTTTGCGCAGTTTATGTTGAGGGGCCCGTTTTCTGTTTCACTGAAACATTATGAACTTTTTTGTACAATCCCAGCCAATTTGAGCTAGACATGTGACGTGCTATACCGTCAGTGCCAGCTGCCACTGAAACATTATGAACTTTTTTTGTACTATCTCAGCCAATTTAAGCTAGACATGTGATGTGCTATACCGTCAATGCCAGTTGCCATATGCACCACAAACTTAGTGCACGCTGAACAAGAGACTTGCAGTCTCTGCGCTGCTTTCTGCATCCAATTACACTACTTTCAAAAAGTCCCTGCGTGCAACACCGCACACTTTGCGTTATGGGGGACTCTTAGGCCATGGAGAAGAGTGGCATGGTTTTGATTTTGATTGCCCCTTTTACAAACTGACTCACCTCAGCACTGCGTGAAAATAAAGTTGGCGCTCACTTGCATTGCACCCATTCGACTTTGCAAGAGTCTTCGTTAAAGCATGAACCTCCAGCACCCGTAAGGACCTGCCTAGATTTAGCGTCATTAGTATGACCGGCAGTGGGTCCCATGTCTTTCTGGTGGCCTGGCTACCTGCAGCATGACCCTCCCGGGTCAAGGATCATTTAAGAATCGTAGGACATTAAGACAGTGGAACAAGACAATTGACCCAGTACACTTCTTCCTTTGTTTACCTGCGCACAAACTCCAGTATGTCAAGAGCCCCAAAAAACGTGCCCCAGCATTCTGTCCATTTTTGTAGGCAACACCACAAGTTTAAAGAAAGTACCATATTCGAAGATGCATGAACTGTATTTGGTCGTGACGGGATGTCGTGAATTGAAGTTGGTAAATCAAAACCGAAACGGTGGCCGAAAGGTACCCAAGATACTTTGCACGGCCCCACACCGCTTTGGATCGCTTCGATTTTGAAAGAAGCTCGTTAGCCGGCCAGTCGACGATATTTGCAATGACCTCTTCCGCTCACTCTCTGCTTCGCTCGAGCTTCGCCATAGTAAGGCGCCGAGAGGAGCATTGTCGCACGCCGTACTAAGTGGACAAAAACTCGCAGTGTAGAAACAAGCACTTTGGTTAACGTTCCTTTGGTTCTGCAATGCCAGACATCGCTACACAGAGAGCCATCCAAGATTCAATGCATAGCATGTTTGCCATCACATTTGCATAAACAGCATTTCAAACGACCTGCATTTGCTTCATGAAAATCAAACGTTTGCAAAACACTTGGCCGGCACATTTCCATAAAGATGGGCGAATATTCGGTCATTATGAATAGCCAATCGAATTCTCTTCTATTCGGCATTCGCTTCGAATCAAATTTAAGTATTCAACAATATTGAATTATTCAGCAATATAGGATTATTCGACTTTTCTAAATACAGTCAAACCCGACTATATCGAACCCGCTTGCATCAAATTATTTTTTATATCGAGAAATTTTTGTGCACAGTAATGTTAGTGATAATATATAGCAAAAACTATGGTTGCATTGAACAAAAATAGCAGCCGCTACCGATATATCGAACTGCCAAGAGCACCGTTTTGCTCTGCAAGCTGGCTTTCCCCCAATGCGAGGGACTGCATTGAGGGAAAGCCAGCTTGCCAAGCACACTAATTTTTTTATATATATTTTTTTATTTATTTTATTTATTTTTTTTTTTTTTTTTTTGGGGGGGGGGGGGGGGGGGGGGGGGAGGCGGCCGCGTTGATTGCAGGGAAAAGAAAAGAAAATACAGCTTTTGCGGAGGGAGCGGAGAGTCTGCTCCGTGCTCCCTCTCCCCTCTCCGTCCGCAAAAAAGAATGAGTAAAGCTATACGCACTCCGCAGTGCGCTTCGCGCGGAAATGGCTATACGCACTCCTCCGAGAGATCATGCCGCTCGGGCCACCCTTTTCGAACGGCGCGTGAATCACTGGGGCGCTCGTTAACACAGCCCCCCGCCTGCGTTCACGCCGCTTCGCGGCGACAGTATCGGCTGCTAATTACAAAGCGTAACCAGTACACGCCGCTTCGCGGCGTCCAGCCGGCAATCCAAGCCCCGCTGTCCCCGATCGCACCTCCGGAAAGGGAGTCCGATACCATTTAGTTCTGCGAAGTTTCTCGACAACATTCGATTTTTTAAAAAGAATATTGTTTTCTTCCAAGCGGTTAACGCGGCCACCCGGGAAAAAAAAGCCAGCTTGTTCTGCTAGCTGGCTTCCCCCAACGCAGCCACCTGTTGTAGGGGAAAGCCAACTTGCAGGGCAAAGCGGCGCTCTGCAGAAGGTGCTCCCGCTCGGACGTGCTCCGTGCTCTCGGCATAGTTCGGCGCTAATGCGCGAATATAGAGGCAGCGGCCTCAGCATTTTGGAGTCCGTCGATAACGTAGAAAAATATCGTTATCGCGGATGCAATGAAAAAAAATCAGCAGAAGATGCAAGACTAGTTCAATGCATAATATTTCAGCAGAAAGTGGATTTTTGAGTCAAATTCATTAAAACTTTTATATTGAATTACCCGCTATATCGAACTGGTAGACGTTTTCTTGCGAGTTCGATATAAACGGGTTTGACTTACTCCGGCTGGCATTTCCGGCCAGGTGGCGAAAGCTTCCGACCATTTTGACCATTTTGTGCTCCCGAACTCAATACAGTAAAACCTCGTTATAACAAAGTTGAAGGAGCGGTCGTAATTATTTCGTTATAACTAGGGTTCGGAGTTTTCGGTTTAAACCGATAAAAACCGATAAAAGTACGCCGAATTCAATTTCGGAAATTCGGTTTTAACCGAAAAAAGTCAGTTATTAGGTTCGGTATTTTCGATTTAAACCGATAAAAACCGATAAAAGTACGTCGAATCCATTTTCTGAAAATCAGTCTTAACCGGAAACGGTCACTTTAACCTTCCAGTCGTACCGCATTGCCGTGGCGAAAAAGTGGAACGACAGTGTCTATCGAAACGTTTCCGAATCTATGGGATACACGGGTGCCATCACGACGTGTTGGTTTATTGTGCGCATCATCGATCGGAACGGAAAGTCCGAAATGCCCCATGACTTCGCCATGTACGGGCGTGTTTTCAAACTCGTTGTAAGGAAGACTGATTTGATGAAAGCTCTGCATGTTGTGTTGTGCTTCAAAACGTCGCACCGTGTCTCTTTTGGTGCTCACAATTGGTTGATTGGCCGATTTTGACTCAGGCAGCGCTTCATCTCCTCAGCCTGCCAGTGTCCAGTACGTGTTAGCGTTGAGAGGGTATTTTTGAAGCTCAGTGTCATATTAACAGGAAAGAAAGAGTGCGGAACAACGAAGAGAACCTGGGAAAGTACATGTCTGTGTACTGTAATAAGAGCACGTAATCCTGGTAAACAGAAGGTGAAGTTCCATGTTTTTTGGGCATAGGCTTCATATCTGATTTCTTTTACTTCTGTTTTTTTTTATTGATTCTTTACAGTTGCACACATTTGCGAAATAAAGTGTCCATTTCTTTTTCAATATATCTGTGCCGTTATTAATTGAGTGATATAAAATATCAGAGCTACAAGGATCATCTCATCCGGTGTCCGTTGATGTTTATTTTATATACACCGAAAAAAGCCGATAAATTTTGGTGGGCATAAATAAACGCCGAAAAAAACCGAAAATTGAATTTTAAAATAAACACCGAAAAAAGTACGGCGAATTTTGAGAAAATAGAAACCGAAAACGCAGAACCCTAGTTATAACCATTAGTTTGTTATAGCCAATGTCCATTTCTTCCCACTATTAGCAAGCAAGGGGAATTAATATTGCTTTGTTATATCCATGTTTGTTATGTCCCGTTTTGTTATAACGAGGTTTTACTGTACACTCGAAATTAACAATTACAGTACTTGTAATACCAAATAAGAGCAAATATAAAACTATAGTTTAAACATATCTTGTGGTATTCGCTGCTTGTACTATTTGCTTCGAAATTATTCGGCCAAATCACTATTCGCTTTGAATTCGATTCGGACCCAAAATTTTCTATTCACCCATGCCTACATTTCCAGCTTTTATTTCTGAACCAGTTGATGCAGCTTTGTCATTTTAATGCAGATGTGGCTCTGCCATGATGCAAATATTGGCCAATACAATGAGCACATATATGCACCAATGTGCACCAAGTTTTGCAGGGCATATGACAGGCAACACCAATACTACTGCACACCAATGTAACATAGCCAGATTTTTTTTTTGGGGGGGGGGGGGGGGGGTTGTTTTGTCTGTTACTGCTGCGCACCCAAATTGTGTCAATAATGGCCAGGGTTGTAGTGTCAACTCCACTTTACCAAAGCATGTTCTCGCATGCTTACATATGGTCTTGCACGGGCAGTGCATTCTTTGTGAAGGTTGCACATTGCCTGCGCCCGTTTTTCAAGAGCACTTGTCTGCTCCAGTCAGGTCTGATTAGAACAAGATAATAACAGGTCTTCGAGAGCACAGCATGAAGCCTTATGCACACATAAGTCCCATTGGAAGATGCCCGCATAGCGGCAGACAGAATGTTTCTTAGAGAGCGTGTCTCTGCGTTCCTCAGATGCCCTTTCCAGGGCTAGCACCTTGACAGTCACTTCCTTTATTTTTGTATGGACTGCCAAATCTGTGGCATGTCAGCCGCTACACCTGCAACCCTCGACAGCTTGCACCATCGGAGCCAATGCTGCTATCGACAGCCCTCGAGCAACAAATTTGGGGTACCGTTTGGAGACAACAGACGTCATGCGACCCATCTTTTGTGCACCGAACACGGCCGGCAATTCAAAGTTTGTAGAATCGCTCGACTTTGGAAGTTTAAAAGCTTGAATCGTGTAAACTATTCAAATAGTATAGCAGACCAAAATTTATATGCTTCACATCCATTCTTTTTTAACGGGTGTGTCAGCACAGAAAAGGTAGCCGAGACCGGACGTTCAACTAACAATGATTTATTTCCTCCATGGTGGCAGCTTGCCACTGGCAAGGGGAGTCGGTAGACATGGCACTCTACCCAAGTTTGCATCATTGGTCGTGTTTTGGAAGCGTTGAGCTAGCTGGTGAGGATAAGCTTTGAAGCTTGGATCATGCGCTTGCTTGCTCAAGCTGCTGCTAAGTTTCGGGAATTAAAACAGTGTTTAACAGAAGGGGGGCAGTGAGAAAGAGCCTAGATGCTGCTTAAGCCAGAAAACTAGTATGTGGTGGGACACTTTTGTTAAAAAAAGCCGAACGGTGGAAGGTGCCTCCTCGGCGTGTGTGGAACGGAAGATACATAAGTTAGGTGAAGGTGAGGCCAGCTTCGCGGTAGGTCAGGTAGATCTTCTCGATGGAGTTGACGTAGGCGGCAGTGCGGAGGTCCAGGCCCAGGTTGTACTTCATGGCAGTTCTCATGATTTGCTGCAAGCAGGAAATGCAAAAGAGAAGATGTGGGCGACACATTGGCCCAGCTAGTCACAACTAGAACGTAGGGCCACTAGCAATATATAACATCTCGGCGAGAAAAAAAAAAAAAAAAGCTGGCTCTGTTTTAGAACAAATGCCTCCCCAATGAAGGAGTGTGTTTTGATGCATGAAAATTTCCGGTGTGCATAACCTTAAATTAGAGGGAGAAAAGTGAGTAATTACCCTATTGTCATAGCAGCAGTGATCAAATCAAGCTCCTACACGTGCTAAAAATCTAAAGTTCCTTCAGCTTAATCTACCAATGGAACTTCAGCGAGTATGGTGCAGCAATGGCATTTTAGTGTCATTGCTCATTAATTATAGTACACCTGTGGATTCAATGTCACTTCAACACCTCTTGGCCGAGATTGCCATGGTTGTATATTAAAATTTATAACTGGTTTAATATTGTACTTAATGGAATAAAAAATAAAAAGAGCAACAAAGTTATTAC